TTGGTAGCCACAAATGACGGCCCTAAGGGCCTTTAAATAGGTCCTAAACACGGGAAATTAGGGTTTCATTAAACAGCGTGGACTCGCCGAGTCCAATCATGAACCCGGATGAGAATCCGCGACCCTACTCGGCGAGTCTAAGCACCAACTCGCTAAGTTCCTCCATAAACTCCAACATAAATGAATAAAATAATATTCCTGGGAATCCGGATGCTACAACATTTTTTTTTATAAATATAACAATAATGTTGTTGTTAAATTTGATATAATAATTTGTATACTAAGTTGATATAATATATTGATTATTTTGAATTATATGATAATATATACATCTATTAAAATTGCATAATCTCAATCTTTTGAATGACCTCTACCCGCAGATTACTCATAAATAAAATTAAAAATAATATATGACTTAATGTTATTTATAGTGGTTGTTATTGTTAATTAAATATTTTTTTTAAATTTATCCGCTTAACGTTTTAATTTCTATCATTGTAATTATTTAAAATACCAATTTTTTTTTTTATTTTAAAGGTAACAGTATAATCATTTATATAGAGTTGTTTTTAACTATTGTTATTGTAAGTTATTTTAAGTTACTTATTTGAAAACATTTAACGATTATAAATATATATTTAGTAAATATTTTAGTTAAATTGATATTACAATTTAATTTTTGCATTTAGCACTACAATTTATCACTTTTAACTATTCATTAAATATTCTTTGGGTTTTTTAAGTGACACTGAAATTTATATTTATGTTGACACTGTAATGCTATATTTAAATTAACAGTTTAAGTATTTTGTCCAAAACATTTAAAAGTTGTAGTTTTAATCTGATAATGGTTTACATATAACAATATATTAAATCTAATAAATTAAGTATAATATGTTAAAACTTAAAGACATAACTTTATCAATAGAAGTAAATATTCCATTTTAATATTGAATTTTAGTTTGTTTATGATTACACTTTAGGTTTAATATTTAGTTAACATTATTAACAAACTTATAATCATTATTAGAAAGACTTTACAATTTATCACTTTTAACTATTTACAAAATATTATTTGGGTTGTTTAAGTTCAACTAAAATTTATAGCTAAGTTGACCATATAATGTTATATTAAATTTGTTCAAAAGTTGTAGCTTTAAAATGATAATGGTTTACATCCAACAATATATTAAAACTAAAAATTAAAAAACACAACTTTATAAGTAGAAGTAAATATATTTTTTTAATATTGAAATTTAGTTTATATATGATTACACTTTCGGTTTTATTTTTATTTAACCTTATTGACCAACTTATAATCATTATTGGAAAAGAATTGAAAAGTCATGGGAGTTTCAAATGAATGTGGTGAAAGAAAAAATACATAGGAGTTTCAAATGAATATGGTGAAAGGAAAAATGCTTCCTTTATAAGTATATAATGATAATGATAATGATATAACTTTTATGCAGTATTAATATTAATCTAAATAATACAATGGTTCATCTTATTTGAACACTCTTACATTTATTTTGAAGCAATATTCATTTTTTTTTAACTTATGTTCATCAAACACATTTATGATGTTATACAGACAACCTAATGCTTATTTATATAAGTTTTTATTGTCTAAAACTCTCATTTATGCCTTATACAACAACAAATTTCATCTTAGAAAATTCTAACATTATTTTCTTGCATACATATTTTCCTTAACGAATATATCTAACATATAATTATCATTTTTATTTTTTATTTTTTTTTCATTTATAATATTTTTTTAGTTTGACAATTACATCAAAAATGTTGTCATATCAACATCTTATTATTATCACCTCCCCACCATTAATCAAGGAGTACTCATCACTTCACGTCATCATATCCCAAGTTTTTTTTGTTGGAAATGGTTTTGTTTGGTACCTAATATAACTGTGAATTCAATACTGATGCAGGCTCAACTTGGGATTGAGAAGGTTAAGATGGAATTTTTTGTTGTTGGAATGCGTTTTGTTGAAATGATAGATATTTTGGGAATGAGATCGGTTGTTGGAAATAGTTTTTGTTGAAAGGGTTAGTTTGAAAAAGTTTTGTTTAAAGAAGTCTGTTAAATTGGTAAACCTTAAAGCATACTCATGAAGCTAGCACTCAATGAAGCGTATTGTTGGAATTTTGGAAGTGTTTGTATTTATATCGAACAATTCATCTCGTTTGGAATGTGTGGGCTTTTAGTTAGGCCCTAGTTTGTTTGAGTATTAAAAATATACATAAGAAAAAAATTGCTATAGATTACAAAATGAAAGATTATAACGTGGAAGTATTATCTTGAATTTTAGTACGTTTATAAGTGACATGTAAATTGATTTTAAAATATTTTTTTATAAAAAGAAATTAGATTGTTAAATGGTCTTTTTTTACTGAAGTGAAATGACACTGTGTGGTTGCTCCTCCACACCAACAATGCATCATGCCAGTGAGATTGTGTTCGTAACGTGAAGAGGTATCCACATTAGCACCAAGTCTATGGTATGGTGTATATACCCGATGGTATTATGATTATTTCAAATAGATTATTATGATGTTTTGTTTGAGATTATGATGAATTATTTTTTAATTAATACATGATATCAGTTTCTGATGCTAGATTTATTGTTAATCTTAAAATACTTATATAAGATCTAAACTTTTATATGTCAATATTTTTATACAAAAGTGTTTATTTGTATATAGCGCACTATCATAAAATTAATTTTTTGAAGAAAATAAATAAAACTGCAAGTAATAAAGGGAGTTGTAGGTAAAGACAAGTAAATTTAGAGAATATCATCTTACATTTTATTCTTATTCATCATTGTATGCATATTAAAAGTTGATATGTATTACATTAAATGAAATTAATAATATTTTAATACACTTATCACCATTTAATATGAATAAAAGGATATGTGCGTATAAAATATATAAGGATTATAAAGAGGATAAAAGAAAGAAATTCCACTCCAACCACTTAGAATACCGCCTTTACCCCTACATTTAAGCCAAAGGAAACCTAGGGACTTAATGTTATCAAGTCCTCTTGAGGGTGTGACGAAAACCCTTTCAAACAATAAGATGATGGTGGTTGTTCATCTAAAAATAACTTTTTAATTTATCGATTTCTTGAAAAGTCAATAAATTAAAAAAATGTTTGGGTATAGAAAAAAGTTTTTTAAAACAACTTTTTGTTTAGTTTTTGAAAAAGAAATTTTAAGAAGTCACAATTTCTTACTTCTTCGAACAACTTATGACTTATTAGGTTTATAAAAAAAAAAACTAAATACTTTTTAACTTATTGACTTATACAACAATAAATCATTTCTTTAAAATGAAATCACCCCTCTAATTTTAAAGAAGGATATTTAATTTCTCATAATGCTTATTAATAAATGTTTCAAAGAAAATAATTAACATCATTTAACGTTACCTATAAAAGTACAAAAACGTATTTTAAAATAGGGATAATAACTTGAAAGGGTAAGATACTTTTAGAAATGTACACATTTAGTCATTATTATTATTTTTTGTAAAATAAACCCTTATACTTTATTAATATGTACACAATAAGTCATTTTCACCGGATTCTACAGGTTTTGCTGATGTGGAAGAGTTTATTTTATAAAAAAAAAAAAAAAGAATAAGGACTAAATGTGTACATTTCAAAAAGTCTATTACCCTATCAAATCATTTTCCCTTTCTTTTATTTTGTTGAAATGAAATACCCAGGTGACATCCACATATCCACAACGAGATTTTTCCAACTTTTATTCATCATGAAAAAGAGGGAGAACCCTGATCTCCGACGACTCATTTGTGTGTTCTTACACATCACTGGTAGCAAGGAGGAATGATGGTAAAAACAACAAGGTCGCCGCCCTTTTCTTGTTGCTGGAGAATCACCCACCTCCTGTGAAAAGGACCTAATGTGTACATATAAATAAAGTATAAGAGTTTATTTTACAAAAAAAAAAGGGTCGCCGCCTTTTTCTTGTTGCTGGAGAATCACCCACCTCCTGTGAAAAGGACCTAATGTGGACATATTAATAAAGTATAAGAGTTTATTTTACAAAAAAAAAAAAGAATAAGAACTAAATGTGTACAGTTCAAAAAGTATCTTACCCTATCAAGTCATTTTCTCTAAAAGAAAATTCGTATATGACCGGTATACCGGGTATAGCCGGTCACAAGGATTGCATTGTTACAAAAAATAAAGTATAAGAGTTTATTTTACAATTAAAACACAATAAGAACTAAATATATACATTTCAAAAAGGGATAATTTCATATATGCCCCTTTTAAACTTCAAAATATCATATTTGCCCAGTTTAATTTCTCAATATCATATTTACCCTTCATAAACCTTCAAAATATCATATTTGCCCAAATCCTTTTTTATAATGTTTTTAATATTTTATAATAATTTTTATACCTTAGAGTTATTATAATAATTAAGATATTTAACCATATTATCCTTACGTCTATGATAATGAAATGTGAACTTGTAAATTGTTAGAGTGTCGGCCTCTTGACAGACAAAAAGATTCATCTTTAACCCTTCCTATGAAATATATATTTTGATTGTTTAGTTTTTGTTGTTGTTGATTATTATAATTTTGTATATAGAAGATATTTTAGATATTATCATTGATATTTTGATGTTTAAAAAGTGCATATACAATATTTTGATATTTAAGAAGGGCGTATATGATATTTTTGATGTTTAAAAAGGATATATATGATATTTTGAAATTTTATGAAGGGTAAATATGATATTTAGAAATTTTATGAAGGGTAAATATGATATTTAGAAATTAAATTGGGTAAATATGATATTTTGATGTTTAAGAAGGGTATACTTTCAAATATCTCATATCAAATCATTTTCCATTTTAAATAAAAACTAATAAATTTTGTGGGACACTAAATCGAAAAAACGATATAAAGAAGGTTTAACATCCCGCCGGAGATGTCCCCAAATTCACGCGGCACGACCAATTTGACGTGTTTGGGTTAAAATTTACCAAATAACCGGCTGCTTCACCCTCTCTCTCCTCATATCCCTCTCTATAAACCAATTAACCTTGCTTTCCGATCATCTTCCTGTTTCACATTATCGACGCCGGTGCTTAAATAGACGTAGATTTTTATTTACCAATCGAGAATTTGAAGATTGCTAGTTTTCTTATTTGAAATTCCAATAGATTGAGTGTGCAATTGGTTTTCCTGTTGATTTGTTGCTACTTGCATGCAGGTATTTATTACCTTATTCCTTTTGTAGGTTCTTTACTTTTTGTGATATCCGATGATGCCTTTGTTTCGTGTTATATATGTAAAACTTGATGCATTTTGTTATTTGTTGGGATATTTGCATTTTCTTGGCGCAGTTTTGAGATTAATGGCGAAGGATTTGAAGGTTCGATCGAAAAGGTAATGCAACTTCTTAATCGATTAAAGTTCTAGGGTTTCGTTTGTTGTTTGTTATTTATCTCGTTTATGTTTTAAGTGTTTGTTTGATTTTAAGATCTTCAAATTCGATTTGGATGCAAGATGAAGATCTGTGTATGTTATACGTATAATTGCTGTAGATTCTTCTTTTGGAATATTTTCTCCGTCGAACATATGATGATTTTTGAAATCATTAGCCATTGGTTTTTTCAAATTTGACTTTTTCTGCATACAAACAGTAATGTCTGAAAAACATATATTCTTAGCATTTTTTAGTTGTTCAGATACTTTTATTTACTCGTGCTAAAGGATCACGGCATCTTCCTTCGTCATTTGATTGATGCTATTCCTTATCGCTCAAATTACTTGGATCAGTTAGAATCTTCCATATTCATTATTCGATCTCTCACAAGTGCTTTAAATAAACTTGAATCTAAATAGCATGTGAAAACCTAAGACAGGGCCTTACAAAAATGAAATATTTTTGCAGTGAAGGAACAGTAACCTGTGATTCTGAAGCTGAGAGCTTAAAGGACTACTGGATACCCGATTACATACTGTTACATGAATCAAAAGTTGAAAAACCATCACATGTTCCTGCTTCTCCAGTGATAGTATTTATCAATTCAAGAAGTGGTGGCCAGCTTGGTGGAGAGCTTCTACTCAGCTACCAAACACTTCTAAACAAAAACCAGGTATTTGATTTGAATAAAGAGGCTCCTGATAAAGTACTTCACCAACTATTCCTCAATCTAGAGAAGCATAAACGCGATGGGGATTCGTTCGCCTCTGAAATCCAGAAAAGATTGAGAGTTATTGTAAGCCTGTTAAAGTGCTAATGTTGTCTTTGTATCATGTATTCTTTTATTGTTTGTATCATTTATGGATGATGTTGTGTGTCTACTCTATCAGGTGGCAGGAGGGGATGGAACTGCTGGTTGGATCCTTGGAGTGATCTCTGATCTCCACTTATCACAGCCACCTCCAGTAGCCACAGTGCCTCTAGGAACCGGAAACAATCTCCCATTTGCATTTGGTTGGGTAAGATTTTTATATTCTATTGTAGCATTTGTAAGAAATTATGGTGTACATGACATAACATTCTTTATGCTGATTTTTTAGGGGAAGAAAAACCCTGGAACTGATCTTGAAGCAGTGAAGATGTTCCTGAATCTGGTAAAAGATGCAAAAGAGATGAAAGTAGATAGGCAAGTTAGATGTTATTATCCATCTTGAGACTTCATACTGCAAATTTTACAAAAGTTGGTAAATTAACATTTGTTGTGGTCCAGCTGGCATGTTCTGATGAAGATGAGAGTTCCAAGAAAAGATGGTTCTTGTGATCCAATAGCACCTTTGGAACTACCACACTCTTTGCATGCTGTCCATCGTGTCCCTCAATCAAATCCATTGGATGAGGTACCAACTACCAACTTCAATTTTATTTATTTATTTATTTTTAAATCATGCAAGTTTTGAGTATGCAGAAATATGACATGTGTTGTGTTTTTGTAGGAAGAGTATCACACGTTTCGTGGAGGATTTTGGAACTATTTTAGTATGGGTAAGCATTTTAAACTCTTCTGTTGTCTTCACCTTTTATATTTTTTTTCTTTTTTAATTGTGATGAAGTGTTTATTATTGCAGGAATGGATGCTCAAGTTTCATACGCGTTTCATGCAGAAAGAAAGCTACACCCAGAAAAATTCAAAAATCAATCTGCTAACCATAATGCCTATGCAAAACTGACATGTTCACAAGGATGGTTTTGGGCTTCACTTTCTCATCCATCTTCATGGTAAGTTTATTTGCATGCTATTCTATTTTGTTAAAATATCCACAATCTTTTGTTTGGGTGTTAGGAACATAGCACAACTGGCAAAAGTTTCAATCATGAAAAAGCCAGGCCAATGGGAAGTCCTGTCAATACCTCCTAGGTAAGTTTAATGGTCCACAATCAGTCAATTCAGTTTTTGAAAGTCAATACAATAATAAATTGATTGTGTATGCAGCATAAGGTCGATAATCTGCCTAAACTTGCCTAGTTTTTCGGGTGGACTCAATCCATGGGGGATACCAAGCAGAAGGAGACTTTGTGTGGTTAGAGCCTAGCCTTTTTTCATCTTTCAGCTTTTTTTTTTTTTTTTTTTTTTCAGATCCAACTATTAGTTACTTACTAACGAAGATTCTTTGATGATATTTTTAGAAAGAATGGACTCCTCCATATGTCGATGATGGATTTCTTGAAGTTGTTGGATTCCGAAACGCTTGGCATGGAGCTGTTTTATATGCCCCAAGTGGACATGGGACCCGTCTCGCCCAGGTACAACATAGCCCCATATTTCAATTTATAGAAGGAAAAAAAACTAGAATATTAAAAGCATGAAAATTATTAATATGTTTATATATGTAGGCAAGAGGGATTCGTTTTGAGTTCCACAAGGGTGCAGCGGATCATACGTTTATGAGGATGGATGGGGAGCCATGGAAGCAGCCTCTGCCAATAAAAAATGAGAACGAGAGTGTTGTGATTGAGATATCTCGTTTTGGTCAAGTCAGTATGTTGGCTACAGGGGAGAATCCCTCTAAAAGTGTGAATGACCCGTTGACCCCACGGACTCCTAGTAAAGATAGTGAGTATGACAGTGATGAAGAAGAGTTGGAGATTCCTGAAGATAGAAAAAAGTTGGGGGCGGCTGCCAGTTTCAAACTACCTGAAGATTTCAACTTATCGCAAGTCAGTTAGGTTATTCATTATTGTTTTTGGTTGGTATATAGGGTATGTTTGTTTGTTTGTTTGTTTGTTTCAGGGGGTACAAATGAAATGGTGCGTATGATATTTCTTGGATTTTAACCATTCGGGTGGGTGTAAGGTACAAATTGATTTCAGAAATTAGTTTAGGAAAGAGAGAGCCTAACTAGTGCTGTAAATGATTAGTTAACCTTTGTATTTACCAAGTAATGAAAGAGGCTGACTATTTTGGATGTGTGAGGAATTACTCTTATACTATTTATCATCAATGTTTGTATTTACTTCATTCATACTCAACTTTTGCAAAACTAATATGCTTAAATTGATGTTCACAGGTTATAGGACGTGAAATTCATTCAAAGTCTTTTTTTTCAATACATACAAACTTTTAGCTTCTTTTTTTTTTTTTTTTTTTTTTTTTAATTTTTTTTTTTATAACAGACATTGTATTTTTATGATAATATAGCTTTCATAAAAACACGATAAACTGAATTTACTAATGTTATGTTTGACAAACTAGTGTAGTTGATAAATGAGATTTAGCTAAAGAAAAAGGATTTAGTCAATGCTTCAAAATAAAAAGGTGGTATTTTAATATGGAAAGTAGAACATGATAAGATTATTGTGGTGTATTGTTGGATGGGTTGGGGTTGGGTTGAACTTCGGAGTTTGTTTTAGGTTGGGAATAGAAGGTATGTGGGATGGACGGAGGAGGAGTTCCACTTAGGGTAGATAGGGGAGTTGCACTTGGGCTAGTGCTACTAATGGGTTTGTGGCGAGGGATGGCAATCGAGATGTGGGAGGGAATAGTTTGGTAGGTTTTGCTGGGTGAGAAATTAAATTTCGTCAGATATAATGTGATAAGAAAGTATTATTTTCTTGGTGGAATGGTTGTAGTATTTGAAACCACAATGGTTATTTAGGTATCCAAGGAAAAGATGGGGTTGAGCGGGGTTGGAGTTTATTGATAGTGGTTGATTGAAAAAGACGTAGCACAAAAAACATAAAACTTTTAAGTGTTGATAGGATGGAAGTTTTTGGTAGAGGATTTGGGTAGGAGAACTGACCATCTATGGGGAAGACAGTAGAGTTGGTTCCGCTTTCTGTTTGGTCGCTAGGGCTAGACAGTATCTTCAATGTAACGACCCAAATTTTCAAAAGAAAATTTTCATTTCTAATTAGTCAAACACATTTCTATAAACCATGAAATCCCAAAACGATTGTTTTCAAATCCACATTCATTACAACTTTATTAGAAAAAAAACGCCAGTGTCCCATAACACAAATCAATGAGAGAGTGCACGCCGCGCCATCACGCTTTGCACTTGTCCTTGGGCTCAGATGTACCTGAAACAAATCCACAAACGGTAAACTGAAAGCTTAGTGAGTTCCCCAGAGCATACCCACACACAAACCACATACAACATATCATACTAGCTAATATAGCTATACATATCACATAAGCCATGCATACAACATATAGAGATGCTGGGGGCTCATCCCCAGGGTCTTACTCCAGGATGCCATGGGCTCCCCACATGGTCATACACCTAAGTGCCATGGGCTCTCCCATGGTCTTTGATAGGAAAGCCATGGGCTCTCCACATGGTCTTACATCCAAGTGCCATGGGCTCTCCCATGGCCTTTGATAGGAAAAGCCATGGGCTTCCACATGGTCTTACATCCAAGTGTCATGGGCTCTCCCATGGTCTTCCATACAAACATACCATATATACTACTAGCATACTTCCTAGCTCATACCGACTATCATGTCAAATAATACCATTTCAGCTATGACACTACATATCATGAAATGGGCCGGCCTTGGCGCCTTAGAGCCATTGGTATGGTGAGGAGACTCATCTCTGTCTGTTGAATCCGAAAGCTGCTCTCCTAACAGTCCGTAACCTCCCGTGCTGAATAATAATATTAACCAATGTTAGGACTTCACAAAATCAAAGGGGAACCCAAACCCCAAGTCCTTCCATAAAGGCCAAAATATTCTTTCTTTGTTAATGGGCCCAAAGTCCATGTCCAAAAATCATTAATGGGCCTCATAGACCAATAAAGCCCAATCATAACACCCATGGCCCAAAACAGATAAAATGACCCACTATCCCAAAATACGTCCAGGCCCAATAACCAATTGAGGCCCAATAGTTCAAGGCCGAAAACAAGATCCAAGCCCACATGTGGTGCATACGCTTAGCGTACCATCCTAGTATGCGCGGCGTACTGGGCTCTAGGACTTACGCGCTGCGTACGCTAGGTTACACCCAACGTACTAACAAATTGAGCACTTTCTCCATTAAGTGCTTAATACTCGATTTCTTTACATCCAAAAGTCAGATATAAGCTTATTAAGACGTTCTAGGGCATAAAGTTGGCAGCTTTACGCCTTTGCATGTCTCATATGTTCCCAACACCCCCATTAAGACCTTTTTAAGGTTATTAACCCATGCATGAGGTCAAAACACCCACCAAGACTCCATTTTTATGTTGCAGATGGACCAAAGGACCTCAAATATGTCATTTCCATCCTCTGGAGTTGCTCAACTCACAAGAGGAGATCCAAAATCAACAAAGGGGACAAAGCTAGATCTAGTGATTAAGGTGGAAAGGTCCAAGCTTTATACCTCCAGAAGCTCCTCAAGGTCGACTATATGCAGATTCTTGAAGCCTAATGACACTCCAAGCTTCCTTGACAACTTCTTCTTCTTGAATGTCACTAAAAATGGCCACCAACACCCTTTCTAAGCTCAAAATGGTATCACAAGCTCTCACTGGAGTAGAAGGACGTTCTAAGGCTATGGGGGCTCTCTAGGGTTTAGTCCAAGGAACTTAAGGACATTTAAATAGGCCTCATGTCCGAAAATTAGGGTTTGGTCCTCCGGCATGTACGCCCAGCGTACATGCTGCCCCTTCGTGATCATCCATGCATGGTACGCTAAGCGTACTTATAAGTACGCCCAACGTACTTAAAGGACTAGTATGCTAAATTTAGATTTCTTCAAGGGTTTCAAAGTATACCTGATTTGGAGTGTTACAACTCTCCCCCACTTGAACTAGACTTCGTCCTCGAAGTCAGCGGCTGTGAATAGATCGGGATAATGCTCCTGCACCTCTTCCTCCAGCTCCCTAGTCCATTTGGAGCCTTTTCGGTGCTGCCATTGCACCTTTACCACCTTCACCTCCTTGTTCCGAAGACCCTTTGTCTTCCTATCTAAGATGACAACTGGCCTCTCAGCATAGTTCAGGCTCCCATCCACCTGAATATCGTCCACTGAAATGACTGCGGACTCTTCAGTGACACACTTCCAAAGATGAGACACGTGAAAGGGGTTGTTGTAACACTGTTAATTTTCAAACAAATTTTTTTATTTTTAAAATTCACATAAATGACATCAACACATTTTACAAGATCTCAATATATCAATTATCAAAACACACGTTCATAATTATTTGAATAAAATCCAGGATCCTCAAAGCATAACTCTTTCTCTGGTGTGTACAATCAAGCCGGCCCCTTCCTGCGATCCTGAGAGAACCTGAAACACATATCACATAACACGATAAGCACGAAGCTTAATGAGTTCCCCAAAATACAACGCACAAGTAATTAGCCACTCGAGGCTATAGCTTTGTAGGACCTTCCGGTCAATGTGTCTCAGAGGAACCCTCCAGTCCCATAGCTCGTTGGACCCACTAGTCCGGTCATAGCTCATTGGACCCACTGGTCCGGTCATAGCTCGTTGGACCTACTGGCCCGGTCATAGCTCGTTGGACCCACTGGTCCGGTCATAGCTCATTAGACTCACTGGTTAGGTCATAATACCACATAATCTAGTACACAACACAAATCACATAGTAATGCGTAACTCAAGCAAGCACATAAGACCCTCTGGTCACACCTAATTACCACCCTAAGCAAGGTATAGTGAGAAGACTCACCTCGGATGACGAACAGATCCTATAAATGCTGCTGCTACACTCCGGCTTCTATCACTAAGCCAAACTCACAAATAACCTCATTAGGATATAAGACAAACCTTCACTTTATTAGGTCTAAATATGTTCCACCAATCCGGTCCATAAATAATCCAAGCCCAATGGGCCTACTAAGGCCTAGTACCAAATAGGTTCACAAAAGTCCTCTAATGGCCCAACTATGACCCGATTTTCCAAATTGGGCCCAAACCCTCACATGGACCTTAACCTAAAGCCCATGAAAATATTCTAATCCACATGACTGCTCTTGGATGGCTCATCAATGGCCCAAAACACCAAAGCCCAATAAAAAGGCCCAACTCAAGGCCTAAGCAAAATCAGGGTTTTCACATAAAATGACAAATAGGGTTAAGTGTTTCTCACTTAACCTATTAAGGACTTAACTCATTAAGTCCATTATTCCACTAAGCCATCATACAATAGAATCGTCATGAGTTATATTTTCAGTCCACTGGTCCAAATACTCTAAATACGAGTCCCAATAGGCCCAAACCAACAAACCCAAAATTAGGGTTTTCTAGCCTAATAACCATCCAACAAGCCCAGATCAAGAATTTGGGCCAATTAGGGTTCACTATGCCAAGCACCACCCACTACCACCCCGGGTAGTGGTGGTCATGGGCGGCTCATGGCGGCGGGCTAGCGGCAACCACCATTTCTAATGGTGGTGGTTACTTTTCCAGCCAAAACATCACTCAAACAACATAATACGGCCATTACACACCCAAAACACACAATAAATGCACACACACAGCCACCCACACGGTGGCAAGCGGTGATAGGGAGCGACAGCCACCACCTCACGGTGGTGGTGGTGGATTCTCTTGGTCCCAGGAAGAGAAAACACACCCATACGCCCACAGACATGAGCTGAACACCGAAGTTCACTCAACTCAGCCACTTCAGGTGGCAAATGACGAGTGGAAGCACAAAAACGATGACCTAAGTCCACCGGCGACCACAGCCGCTAATCACAACGTCGCATTCACAGCGAGAATGAAAGAGAGAGGAGGTGGGTGGCGTTATACTTACCGGCAGCTTCCCATTCGCTCACAACCAACACAGCGACTCCACAAG